ATACTCAGAGAAATTGAAAAGAATTTTTTTAAAAAACTGAACATTTAGTGAATTTGTAGGAATAGAAGGGATGCAACAGAACTATAATTTATACATTAGACATTTATGTAAAAGATGCTTCATTTTTAAAGAGCTTTCCCCTACTTCTGTCTTTTCATCTTCCTAAGAGCAATATTTAGCAGTTGTGACTCTTATAGATAGATTACTCCATTGTGTTCGACGGTAATTCTATCTTTATGTTTTCACATCATTATCAATTTTATTATTTCACAGTAAAATCTACACCACTCAAGTTAGAAGAGCCCATAGAGTTACAGCAAGCAGCAATCAAATCCACATGAACAAATGCTAGAGGCTCAAGGATTTTAAGTACTGAGTATCTACTGCCAAAAACCTGTTTATCGATATTAAAACATCAATAATCAAAGTGACAGCTACTTTAATGAAAAGGGAGCCAGGAAACAAGGCCCTGAAATACAACTAAGTGCATTTTGAATAATGCCATGGATTTCCTGGTTAGTATCAGTTAAACATGGAAACTGTCCATCCAGAATTCTGGTCTCAGAGAAAAAGGTCAGAGTCACTACAAAGAAGGACTTCATACCATCATCTCCAATTTAAAACAACTGGGATCCTTCGGGAAAAATCATGTAACCTTTTCTTTCATCAGCGATTTCTGTTGGTCCTCTATTCATGCCTGCACCCTTGCAGCATATTTTGCCATTCGTTGTATTGTTGGATCCTTGTATGGCTTTTCTAGGCCAAATATGACCAACCAAAGGGTTATATGTATGGCTCCGGGAACTTCTGTTTTTTATTACAAATTTTTAACTAGGATATATTCATTATGGGGGTAGATTCGCAGTGACAATTCCAATTAGACTTACATTGCACATTATTTACATTGGCCCCATCATGTCTCCCCCTCAGTCCTCTCCACACCCCACGTAAAGCGATTGCAAGAAAATTTTTTTAGCTCTGTTTCATATAGGTGTGAAATCCATCAACCATATGCTGTCACCTTAATCTCCTTCCTTCACCCTCCCTACATCCCACTAGTACCCCTGGCCGCACACACTGTGCCTGTTTTACAGTCCTGATTTTTGTTAGTAATATTCAGTTAATGTTCAAAGGGATGTCTCAATGTATGCTGGTCCACTGTGGGTGTGCTCTACCTAGGTCTGTTCAATCCCTTCCAAAACTCTCCCTTACCCTTTTACCTCCCATTCCCTGTTTTTAACAGTTTTCAATATTCATCCTTATATCCTCTACCTTCATACCTTATGGTATGCGATATTACTGATGCTTTATCATTCTCTTCTCATTTCCCTCTTTCCCTGAGTTCCAAAGAGCAACTCCACTGTTACAAACATTGGATGTGATCATGCTTGTTTTGTATATATGTTTATCTTTGGATCTATCTTCCATATATGAGAGAAAACATACGTCTTTTGTGTTTCTGATCTGGCTAACTTCATTTAACATAACGTCCTCCAACTGCATCCATTTACCTTCAAACCCCATGTCGTTATTCCTTCTGACGAGTGTATATGTACCACAATTTCATGATCCACTCATCAGTTGTAGGGCATCTGGGTTGTATCCAGAGCTTGGCTATTGTGAATAGTGCTGCAATGAATATCGGTGTACAGGTGTCTGTATCCTAGCTTATGTTCTTTTGGGTAGATGCCCACAAGCAGTATCACTGGATCATATGGCAGTTCTATCTCTAGTTTTTTGAGGAATCTCCATATTACTTTCCATAATAGTTATACTAATTTGCATTCCCAGCAACAGTGTGTAAGGGTTCCTATTTCACCACATCCTCGCCAGCATTTGTTGTTATTATTACCCTTGATCATGGCCATTCTAACAGGTGAGATGAAAATCGAAGTGTTGTTTTGATTTGGATCTCTTTTATGGCCAGGGAAGTTGAACATTTCCTCATGTGTTTACTGGCCATTTGTACCTCTTTCTTTGAGAATTCCGTGTTAATTCATGTGCCCATTTCTTCATTGGGGTGTTGATCCTTTGGGGGCTGAGTTTTTTGAGTTCCCTGTAGATTCTGGATATTAGTCCCTTGTCAGATGAGTAGCTGGCAAAGATTTTCTCCCATTTTGCTGGCTGTCTCTTGAGCCTGGTGACTGTTTCCTTTGCTGTGCAGAAGCTCTTTAGTTTGATGCAGTCCCATTTGTTCATTGTTTCTCTTAGATGCTGAGCCTTTTGAGTTCTGTTTAGGAAGTTGTTCCCTATACCTATCTGTTCCAGTGTATTTCCTACTGCTTCTTGGAGTTATTTCAAAGTTTCAGGCCTTATATTAATGTCTTTGATCCACTTTGAGTTGATTTTGGTACAGGGTGAAAGACAGGGATTTAGTTTCAGTTTTGTACATGTGGATATCCAGTTTTCCCAGCAGCATTTGTTGAAGAGGCTGTTTTTTGACAGCCTTTGGGCAACTTTGTCAAAGAGCAGTTGGCTATAGATGCGTGTGTTTGTGTCTGGATCTTCTATTCTGATCCACTGGTCTTCCTGTCTGTTTTGTGCCAATACCGTGCTGTTTTTATTGCTATGGTTCTGTAGTATAGTTTGAAGTCAGGTACTGTGATGCCTCCAGCATTGGACTTCTTGCTCAGAATTGTTTTAGCTAATTGAGATCTTTTGTGTTTCCATATATATTTTACTATTGTTTTTTCTATTTCTGTGCAGGTTGTCATTGGGATTTTGATAGGGATTGCAATGAACATATGGATTGCTTTTGGTAGTATAGCCATTTTCACAATGTTGATTCTACTGATCCACAAGCATGGAAGGTCTTTCTATCTTCTGATGTCTTCTTCAATATCTCTCTTCAGTGGTTTATAGTTTTCATTAAAAAGGTCTTGGTTTACTGTTAAATTTATTCTGAGGTACTTTATTGTTTCTGAGGCTATTGTAAATGGGGTTGTTTCTCTGATTTCTTTCTCAGTCTGTGCATTGTTGGTACATAGAAAAGCTACTTATTTCTGTATGTTAATTTTGTAACTTGCTACTTTGCTGAAAGAGTTTATGATTTCTAGTAATTTTTTGGTAGAATTTTTGTGGTCTCTTAGGTAGAGGATCATGTCATCTGCAAATAGGGCTAGTTTGACTTTTTCCTTCTCTATTTGAATCCTTTTTATTTCTTGCTCTTGTCTTGTTTCCAAAACTATATTGAATAGGAGTGGAGAAAGCAGACAGCCTTGTCTCATTCCTGACTTTAAGGGGAACAGTTTCAGTTGTTCTCCATTTAGTAGGATGTTGGTTCTAGATTTGTCATATATAGCCTTTATTATGTTGAGGAACATGCCTTCTATTCCTAGTTCCTTCAGAGTTTTTATTGTGAGAGGATGTTGGTTTTATCAAAGGCATTTTCTGCATCTATTGAGAGGATCATGTGGTTTTTAATCTTTGCTTCTGTTTATATACTGTATTACATTTATGGATTTACATATGTTGAGCCATCCTTGCATCCCTGGAAGGAAACCGACTTGGTCATGGTGTATGACCTTTTTGATGTGTTGTTGAATTGTTTGCCAGTATTTTGTTGAAAATCTTTGCATCTATATTTATTAAAGATATTGATCTATAATTCTCTTTTCTGGTTACATCTTCATTGGGTTTCAGAATGAGTGTAATGCTGGCTTCATAGAATGAGTTTGGTAGTGTTCTTTCCCTTTCTATTTCCTGGAAGAGTTTGAGGAGTATTGGTGTTAGTTCTTCTTCAAAGGTTAGGTAAAATTCAGCCATGAATCCATTAGGTCCTGAGCTCTTCTTTGTAGGGAGACTGTATTACTGCTTCTATTTCATTGCATGTAATGAGACTATTTAGGTGGTTAATATCATCTTGGTTCAATTTTGGTTGGTTATATGCATTAGGAATTTATCCATTTCCAGATTACTTCAACATAAGTTTTCAGAGCACTCTCTAATGATTCTCTGGATTTCATATGTTCCCTTTTTCATCTCTGATTTTATTAATTTGGGTCTTCTCCCTCCTCCATTTTGTCATATTGGTGAAGGGTTTGTAAATCTTGTTAACCTTTTCAAAGAACCAACTTTTTATTTCATTGATTCTTTGTATAGTTTGTTTGCTTTGATCTCATTAATCTCACCCCGATCTTTATTATTTCTCTTCATCTGCTGGTTTTGGGTTTGGTTTATTCTTGTTTTTCTAGGTACTTAAGGTGCACATTAAATTATTTGGGAGGTCTCTGTTTTTTTAATGTAGACACTTATAGCTATAAAATTTCTCCTTAGCAAGGCCTTTGCTGTATCCTACAGATTCTGGTAGGTTGTATTTTCATTTTCATTGGATTCTAGGAACTTTTTTTATTTCTTCCTTTATTATTTCTGCCACCCATTGTTTTTTCAGCAGTGTGTGTTCAGTCTCCATGTGTTTGAATATTTTATGGGTTTTTTGTTGTTGTTGTTGAGGTCCAGTTTTATTCCGTTGTGATCTGATATGATATAGGGAGTTATTTCAATTTTCTTGAATTGAGACTTGCTTTGTATCCTAAAATATGATCTATTTTGGAGAAAGTTCCATGAGCTGCAGGAAAGAATGTGTGTTGCCTAGTTGTTGGGTGAAATGCTCTGTACATATCAACCATGATTATTTGGTCTAATGTGAGGAGTAGCTCTAAAGTTTCTTTGTTGATCTTTTGTCTGGATGACATATCTATTGGTGACAGGGGGGTATTCAGGTCTCCCACTGTCACCGTGTTAAAGTCTATCTGTGCTCTTATGGCCATTAGAAAATACCCATCACAGAAAGGGCTGGAGGAGTGGCTCAAAGTGAAGAACTGAGTTCAAGCCCCAGTACCACAAAAAAATTACATAAACTCTCTGAGCTCCCATTTTTCTCATCTAAAATAAAGAAGATAATAATGAATAATAGGAGGGATGGAGACACAGCACAAATCACATGATGCCTTAAATCCTGCAGAATACTTTTCCCCATATGAACCATGACCATAGTTTATAGTTTGATATCTATAGGAAGGATACAAAATATATCATGAAATAATGTCATTTATTTGAAAATGTATCTTGTAAAAAACTTGGGCATTAAATTTTCATTTTCTGCCTGTTTTAATGAGAGGTTGGCATGGTTATCTTTCAATAGAAAGAATTTTACTAGGGGGGCCGGGGACATAGATTAGTGGTAGAGGTCTTGCCTACCATGTGTGAGAGGTCCTGGATTTGAGCCATAGCACTGACAAAAAGAAAGGAGGTTACCAATATGTAAACAACATAAAAGCACCACATGAAATCTAAAATGAAATAACAATATAAAATTTTCATTCAAATCATTTTTCTTTTCACTATCAGTAGGACATGGTAAGAACTATGCTGATATCATAAGTTATTTTAACACTTTGAGGGAAAGTCTTCCATTCCCAGTGTTGACATTATAACAGAATTCTCTCCAAATCTTTAGCTCTCCACCAGCATGCCTGTTGAGTCATGCGTATTGATGTGTACTCCAAAGGGTCCAAGATCTAGAACAATCATGGCTCAGATAATAGATCTGCAAGATGAATGTTCAGGATTTTTCACACACTGAACAAACCTGGCAGGCCTACAGGAGAAAAGCAGAAAAGAAAATGAAGAGACAGTATGATCACCTGTGGTTCAATTAATGAAGCCCCTTCCATAGCAACAAGTGTTCCTGGACCACTGAGCATCAACACATTGTGGATCTTCTCCCTTCAGTGACAACACTGAGAAAGACCTAGTTCAGGTCTTTCAAGACCTTGACTTCCAAGCGAGGCTCAATTTATTTTCCTTTCACTTACAAATACTGAGAAGGGGTGTTTGGTGGTAACATGGGAGGGTGAAAATGGATATCTAGCTCTGTGTCTCATGCATGTGCTAGTAATGTCAGCTATAGTCAAGAAACAGCAGAAGCAGCCACTGGACCAGGGACATCTACAGTTTCTGAGAATTTTTTGCTTTTCTCTCTTCAGAAGCTTCCTAAAGGATTATTAAGTCAAAGGGCCAGAGGCAGCACAGGACTTACGGACCCTCTTCGAGAGATATAGACCACTGGTGGAGTATCGCACTTCCCTTGTAGGGAGCAAACTGCAGATAAGTATCTAAAGGGTAAATTAAATGACTGTCATTTTATAAATATGAGATAACAAAGCAACAGAGTCCAAAGAGGGTGGCTGGCATATAATGTGGCATGGGGAGGTATAGATAGTAGGGGAAAGTGACTCATTAAATTGTAGCTAAATCTGATTTTGCTGCATGAGTCAAAGAAGACAGACAGCCTTAGAAGCTGCTGGACTTCTGAAAGGGAGAAGTGTCAGGACCTGCCCTTAGGATGGGCCATCTCAGGTTCATCGGGGGCCAACTATCATAACCAGTTGGGCACCATGGCTCTAGGTGTAGAGTCACTCCTTCTTTACCAGTATGGTAGCTTGGGCTCTCCCTCACGTATATATTCTAAAGAAGGAGAGTATCCTCTTCCTTAAGGAAATGCCGCTTAGAAAAGAAACTTTCTAGGCCATTTAGAATTTTTGACGCTACCTTTTATTTATACCAAATAAGAAGACTATGAATATGATTCTTAATTATGGTTTCTGATTTATTAGGAACTCAGCTGTGGAAAATGAGCATAATCATGCTATTAGGATGATTTCTTTCCATAAATATATAAATATTCATATCCAATGTTCCAACAAAATGTCACATCTTTCATATGTTGGGTAACATTTTGATGGACAGAAGTCACAAAGAAGTTAGTGAACCCTTAAGGTTGTTGTTGCTGTTAGCATGCTATGAGGGACACCATCCAGGCAAAGGATTTTGATCATTTACTGTTTTTATGATAATCTATAAAGTACTGTTACCTCTGTCCACTGCACTGGTGAAAACATGTTAGGAAATTCTGTATACATTTTAATCAGGACTATGCTTGGATGGTATATAGCCATACGTTAGTAATATGTTGTTAGGATGGTGGGATTTATTAATGGAGTAATATTAGAATGACTGGAAAGTCTAATACGTATACACAATTATACTTCTGTTTGATTAAATAATTATAGTAAACACCTGGACAAAAGTCTACTAAAATTGCTTGGGCTCCCCTGGAGACAAACAGCTATCCTCCAAAGCCATACACTCTTAGATACAACAAGGGCCCTGCAGGTCTGTAATTCAAAGAGCCATGAAGAATATATTAACCTCCTGGTCGGCAAAAAGAAACAGTGACTTCAAGTATGTTCTACAAGCTTATGATTACAAGATCTGACAGGCAACAGTGGATCACATCTGTAATCCTACCTACTTGGGAGGCAGAAATCAGAAGATCATAGTTCTAGGCCAGCTTGAGCAAAAATAAATTCTAGAGACCCAATCTCAATGGAAACAAGCTGGGTGTAATGGTATATGCCTATCATCTCTACATTGGGAAAATAGGTAGCATTATGGTCCATGCTGACCTGGGGAAAAAAAAAAAAGCAAGACCCTATCTCCAAAATAACCAGAGTAAAAAGGGCTATAGGCATGGCTCAAGTGGTAGAGTGCAGTCTAGCAAGCATGAACCTCTGAGTTCAAACTGCAGTACCCAAAAAAGATACAAGACCTGATGCTTTGAATGACAGGTGTTGGCTTACAAATGGGCCACTGTCTACAAGTCTAGATGGAAGCTATGCATATATATTCTTTTCAGTTGGAGAATGAGTAAGCTAACCTGAAACATAAATAAGGGGAGTTTATGGGTTTTAATATAAAGGACTTCTGCCTATTAATAAAAGGAAAATCCTTAATATGAGACAAAAGGACAAAGGGGTATTGGAAATAAGAGTCATCAACATTTCCCAAACTTCCCCTAGATTTCCAGTCTACCGTTTCCTCCATGAAAAAAATATCTGTGAACAATTTAGAACAGTAAGATGTCTCTAAGACTCCATCACTGTTTTTCCCTTGCTCTTCTGTTTCTTAGTTAGCTGCTGCATCAGGTTTATGCTATTTTCTGGTAATTTCCAGATAGGAGCCAGTTGACTGATAGAAAATTGGGTCATTCGGGAAAGGAACCATCAGTGAGAGTTCTGAATTCTTTCCTTCTGCCTTTGGGACATGGCTGGTGACTGAAGAGATAGAAAAAATATTCCAGTACTTCTTTGAAAATCTTTTTTCTCTGCATTTGTCTTATTCTAAACTATTACACATGGAAAAAATCTCCAAAGATGCTTCTAGCAATGTATCACTACTTACCTACATCACTGACCACATCTACTTGCACATGAACAAGGGGATCCCACTTTTGAAAATACAATTATAAGTGACTTTAAAAATATAAGCCTATGTGAATTTTAAACTTTTCCAATAAACATGGATTATGGGAAATTTTTCTTTAAGATTTTACATTTTTTAATTAAAAAAGATAAATCTTGGTAGACTGCCATGTGGAAATTTACCAAGTATCAGACATCTGTACCTGGATCTAACTGAGAAAATTTCACATGCAAAATTATGCCCAATCACAAGGTTTTATAACTTGTGAGAAAGGTCATGGTGAAAGATGTTCTGCTTTCCTGAAACTTTGGGGTGGGGTCACTCACTCTGAAAATCAGGACCCTCTAAGTCTGGGTCACTTCTGGGGAAAGTCACTGCTTGGGGCTAGCAGAGAAGGAAGTAGGGGATGGGGAAGGTGGACAGGTGAAGGCCCCTGGCTATGAAAATCTTCTGAGCGAGGCTTGGAGGAGGAAATCACCATAGGTCACCATTTGAAATTACCAACAAAGCCGAAGAAGGAGTCCACAACCCTCCCAGCTCAGAGACCAGAGAAGGTAAAATGCCTATAGATGGCAAAACAGGTTTTTCCTCAAGAAGAAATGAATTACCTGTAGTTATTCTGGCAGACAAATGTAATATTCCTTTTGTTTACAATCAATTTCAGCTCATTTATGGAAGGACCTGAGCATGAGTCACTGGGGAAGAAAGAAGAGAATATTAAAATAACAAGACCTTTCAAACATTTCCCAAGTCTTTTTCTCTTCTTGAGTGTCTTCTGCGTAGCGGGCCTTGGGCAAAGTCTTGGAATAAAGAGACAGAGCAGAAGTCCATCTAAGTGCTCCCAAATCAGCAGGGAGCGTGAAGCAGTTAGATAATCATCATGGAGCTTAAGTTAAGAGCTTCTTGGGCAGATCTAAATGTAAAGTAAGGGCCGTTCATTTCCTGAGCCATTTGCTTGGGTTATTTTGGGTAAAAAGTAATAAGATATACCTGGAAACTCTTTCGATGTCATGCATCACCCAAGCCTGTAGCGTATGAACCTTATTTGGATGCAAATGAAAGACTTCCACACTTCCAAAAGTGCTAAAATAGAAAAGACAAAGAATATTGCTAGGCCCAAGGTAAAATGTGGGGCCATCCAGCCGTACATCCCATCAAAACCAGCAGCCTGCACACCATTGACTAGACCTGCCTGTGAAATCGACCCATGGTTTGCCTGAGAAACAGTCACTTTTCTCATTCAATCCTACCCTCAAATAACAAAGATCTTCAAGATAAGGCTTTAAACTTACATTGATGTTGATTTTTGAAAATACTTGCTACTCAAGGAGTGGTTCTTAGGCCAACAAAATGAGCATCACCAGGGAGCTAGTCAGAACTACAGAATTTCAACCCACTACCACCTGTGAGTCGATCTATGGTTGAACAGCCCCAGGTGACTCACATGCTCAGTGAAGTCTGAGAAGCCCTGCTCTGAAAAACCTTGTTTCTAATGCCTTCTGAAAGACCTTGTCTCACAGCTGCCTCTCCTGGTGCAAGACTTGGAGTCCTAGTATCATATCACAAAATTCTAGATTGTTAACACTTTCACCCAAAGCCCACGGGAGGGTCAGGAGAAGACAAAAGAGTGGATGTTTCTTTGTAAAATTAAATTGATCATCAAAAGAGAAAAGAGGAAAAATTAATGTGGAGCATCAACAGTGCTCAGAGCAAATTAATATATGCTCCCACCTCTCGATCATTCTTCTCAGGGAAAGATTAGAGAACAAAAATCAAAAGGAATCCATGCAATAGAAACTGTAAGTATAGAGGGCACCAGAGAAGGAAGGCACAGGTGTGGCCTGAGGATTAAGTGAGAGAATGACAGTCGGTACCCATTGGGAAGTTTCTCTGTGAGGTACAGAGTTCAACATATTCCGTATTTTATCTCAGTTAATCTGCATATCACCATCACCTCTTCAGGTACATATACAGGGGCTCACAGAGACAGGTGCACTGCCTAAGGTTGCTCAGGTTATATGCAATCCTCACTTGTCACTACGGCAGTATATTTACGACAATTATGACAAACAGATAATGTTGTCAAGGGCCCAGCACAGTTCCCAGTTCCCCAGTGGTGCTTTTACTGATGGATTGTGATGTTCAGTCTTCATAGAGGAGAGCGAAGTCAGGCTAGATAGTCCTGGATGGTGAGGATGTAGACAGGGAGAAGTAGAGAGCAGGTCATATGGGCAAACAGTATGAGCTGACGTGGGAAATGGGAGGGTAGAGTACAATGGGAAAGAAAGCTGAGAAAATTACACAAGGCCTCAAAAAGTCAAGAGCAACAGCTGGAAGCAGTGTAGTGGCCATTAGGAACAGTAGAGGACTTGAGACAAAGGTGAAATCTGACCAAAGCATTGACCCAGAAAGACAAATCTCTTCAGAGAATACAAATTTTCTCCCATTTTCAGTCCAAATATTCAAGACCGATCTGCAACACGAAACACATATTCTTTCAAGGGATGAACTATCCAACGGGAGGCTATGATAACCTTGCAAATAGGATACAAAAAAAATGAGTACCTGTTTTTATCAAAAGGTTCATCACGGGACCCATTGAGCATCACTTGAACCACACCACAGGCAGCCTCTGCAAACTTAAAAGTAAGGCCTATTGTTATTCCTCAGCATGCAGAATAAATCACCATTCCCTGGCAGTTCCAACCAAACCAGTACCTAGTGTTAGTAGCCAGGGAGGGAATATTCTCTATGGTTTTAGCACAGGAATGCTAGGTCTATACAATTTTCATTCCAAGCCATTGGAGGAGATTTTGCTTCACATCAGAGTTCTTGAAGCAGTTGTTCCAATCTGTAAGTATTTGAACAATGGAGCTCAATGTCATTGTTGACCAGGTTGTTAAATTCAGTGGTGCAGAAGTTGGAAGTCAAGGGGACAAGAGGAATGTCACTAGAGGAGGAAGATGAAAATGCCTTCTTGGCATCATGCACTGCAGATGCTACATGTTATTTAGCAAGAGCAAGGTGGACAATCCAGGGGTAAGGGAAATAGAAGCTTCATGTGAAGTCAAACTTGGGAGAAAGAATGTGCCTGGAAAGGTACAACGAGAAAGGAGGATTGAATGCGTGGATATGTTTGAGTAAAGGGTTTTATTTCTTCATGCAAGAAACATTCAGCTGGAATTTCTGCTAAGTTTTGGAGGAAGCATGAACAAAGCTCTCTATACACTTCCTCAGGAGATACACCCAGACCTTTGGGACTCACTGGGGTCACCTTCTCTGAATTTTGACAGCATCCTACATCCCCTACACATTACCTGACAATGGCACATTGTAACGATGACCTTAGCGTAAGTTTAGCCACCAGCACTAAGAGCTCCCTGACAGTGGAGAGCCTGGCTGCCCAGTTGCCACTACAGCCCTGGTGCATGGCACAGAGTGGACACTCAGTAAAAAGCAGAGAAAGGAGAAGAGGGAGGGGATGGGGGCAGAAAAGAGGAAACAAGAAATAGGGTACTGAGGTAGAGGTTAGGAAAGAACAAGGCAAGGGTCATACAGGGCACCAAAGTTGTGTCCCAAGGAATGAACAGGATTTCACACAGTGAAGACTGAAGTTGTGTAGAAAAGCTAAATCACAGAGGGCCACGGATGCTTTGTCAAGGAATCTGGACTTTATTCTGCAGGTGACATCAACCCCACTGAAAGATTTGAGACTGAATTGTGAAGTCCAGTGCTGTTTGTTACGTTACTGAGGGCAATGAGCAGAAGGACAGAGGCCCAATCATTACAACTAATCACAGTACTGACTCAAAAGAATGCTAACAGGGTGACAAGCAAGGACCCCACAACATAGAATTCTTGTGGTATAATTCTCTAGAGCCCCCATGAGGTAAATGTTGGGTTACTGGCCTCAAGATCACATCACCTAGAAACAAGGAGGTGAGATGGGGATTCCAACCACCAAGCAGAGCTGTCCCTACTGTGAGAAAAAGAAACTAGTCTGCCAGAGAAGCCCATCTCCATATGTCCACAAGCATCTGTAAAGATAAAAGTACAGGAGCCAAAGTAGCTCACAAGGCAGGGCTTTGAGCTTTGGTCACCTCCCCCACAATACTTCTAGCCCTCAGTGCTGAGCCAGGAGCACAAGAAAACACACAGTACATATAACATGTGTTCTAGTGACAGCACTGCTCTGAGACATATCGCAGAGATGACATAAATACAAACTGTTCTCAGAAAAGGCACACAAACAAAATATACTATGTCCCTGATTTTTCACAGCACATAGTAGGTCTTCATCAATATTTGTTAAATACATAGATTCTGAGTTACTTAACAAGACAGTGACACTTTGTTTAAATGTAACAATAACCTCTGGAACAGGCAAATTTCAACAAATGAGGAATGTGAAGGTCAGAGTGGCTGAGGAATATGCCCAAGTTCAAATGTATTCTCCTCACTCAACTCCTGGGTGATTTCCCTGTGTAGAAACTTAGGTTCCTGTTGGGAACCAACAGGAAGTTAAAGAAGACTGAACCTGTTATTTAAGATGGAACCAATAACCAGATTCAAAAAACATTGAGGAGTATAGCTTTGGAATCAAGTAGACCTGGGTTAGGCACTTAACTTTGCTGCTTATTAGCAATGATCTTGGATGAGTCATTTATTCTAGGAATCTTAGCTTCTTCGCCTTTAATGTGGGGATTTTTTCCTTCTCACAGTACCTATTGAGAATACTAAATAGGAATAACATAAAGAAAGCACTCATGAAACATGTCAAACATGAAATATGTCAAATACAACATACAACTGTATGTCTCCCTGTGTCCCTCTACCTCTCCCTCCAATTCATAACTTGCAAACTAAAACCCAATGTGATAGAATTAAGCTGAGGTAGATCTTTAGGATGTGATTAGGCCATTTGGCTCTGCCCTCAGAGATGATATTAGTGCCCTCATAAAAGGGCTCAAGGGAAATAGCTAGGCATTTTTTGCCCTTCTGCCATGTGGACACACAGCAACACATGCCATCTTGGAAGCATAGAGTAGCCCTCAATAGATATCAAATCTGCTGATACCTTGACTTTCCAGCCTCCAGAACTGTGAGAAAATGAATTTATGTTCTTTATAAATTTTCCACTCTTAGGTATTTTGTTATAGCAGCACATATGGACTAAGGCATATGTACTTGACCCGGCCTCTCCCATGTCTAAGCTTGATTTTGAAGATTTATTTATTTTTACTCCCTTCCTCTTTTTCTTTCTCCCATTTTGTTCATAGTTCTCTTCATTCTTTTTCCACTTGCAAAGGAAATTTTTCCTCAACAACTTACAAAGAAGCAACTTATGAGGAAAATGAATATGCATTGGCAAACTTGTGTGAAGTCAGAAATAGAGAGGGAGTGAGAATGCTGCTGCATTTCTCAACTCAGATTCTGGATCTGGAGTCAGACAACTTGGAATGGACTCCCAACTCTGCCACTTACTAACTGTGCACAGTTAGTAGATTCCTTATTTACCTTATGTCCATTTTGTCAACTGTAAAATGGGGCAGGACACTGAGTACTTACTTTAGAGAGTTCTTAAGGACGAAAGTTCTTAATTCCTATAGAGCTGAGCACATAGTAAGTGTCTATAAATGTAGATTATTAGGACTATTCCAGGAATCTAATTGATACCTGAAGCAGAGAATTAAACCAAGCCCCAGCTTCCTGGCAGCCAGAGCCAAACAATGGATAAGAGCAGGAATTCTTCAACTGGAGCCTATAGACCCTCCATGAATGCTATAAATTACATCTGAAACATCTTCTGCCGTGTGCTTCTAAACCTTTTCCACAGGAAACAATCTTATGCTTTCACTCCTAAGGGACCTGTGATCCAAAACGTGTTAATTCATCCACTGACTGGATGACATGTTTAGTTCTTTAGTCTCAAAATTCTAAGATTTCTCTGCTTGGTACTTACCTTCTGGGAGATCACATGCCAGAATACTGAACGAGGGTTGTTGGGGCAGTTCTTCTTCCAGTGTGGGCAAGATTCATAGTTCATTTCTAAAAAATGTAGTTTATAGAAAAATCATTAAAATAGAAAAGAAAGCATAACATTAAGCTCCATTCTCCCCTGCTGTTCTATCACAGTGAAGCCATTTTTCAACAGTATCACTGCCAAGATGGAGGCAGGACAATGGACACATCACAAATCAATTTAACTAAGTGTGCCCTAAATCCCTTCCAAGCCCTTACCTTACCCTCCAGATCCCAAACAGGAACAGTGACAGACTTTGAGTCATTATTCTGGGAAATGACAACAAATGTTCACCTGACAAAGACAAATCCCCATTATTATCCTTAAGTCCAGGACAAATTTCAGGGAAAAGCAGGTTTTCAGAGCACACTGTTGCCAGCCACATCTCCTGTTGAGTTTCCTTCTCTGCCTCTATAAGACCTCACACACTTGGACTTTCTATATTTGTCCCCATCAAAATAAGCTCAGCCCTCACATGGTATAAGACATAGAGCATGAATACATAGTTTCCATGTCACTTCTCTCAAGGTTATCTGCCTTAATGCCTAGATATTTATTAATACAGTCTGAGGATAGAGCTAGATTAGATGGGAGCCTTGCCATCAGAGAGTACATGATGTCACGAAAACAAATAATCAGAGGAGCATCAGCTTGGAATGGGGTTATGCAGTATTCCAGGTACCCCAGGTATCAGGGAAGGTTGGTGTTACACTTTTTTTTGAAGGAAGAATAGGAGTCTTCACACAGACTAGAAAGAGAAGGGTGCTCCATGCAGAGAGAGCTTGTGCAGAAGCATGGATCTGTGAAACAGAGACAGCTTAATGCATTTAGATCAGTGTTTCAAGAGCAGAGGAGTGAGGAGGGAACTGATCGAAGATGGGGTGTGTAAAAGACAGAGGCCAGACCAAGCCAAGGAATTTAGACATTACCCTAGAGGCAAAGAGAGCCTTTTAGGGTTTGGTAGAATCACATTTTAATTTTAGGAAGAACCCTGACCTAAGGGATAAAGAGTTATCAGTAGATACTGTAACAGCTCCAGCAAGAAAGGAGAGTTAGTGTGATAGGCTGAAGCAGTGATAATGGGTTAGAAAGAAAGCATGAAATACTGGGAAGATAGATTAAGTTAGTGACTGGCTATAGAGGGAGAAGAAGGAGGGCAGATCACCACTTAAACAATGGTAACTATGTGAAGAGGTGACTACATTAATTACCTTAAGAGTAGTAATCAGTTCACTATGCATATGTATTTCAAAACACCACACTGCACTCCTTAAATGTATATGATTTCAATTTAAAAACAGTTTTAAAAAGAAAAAATGATCCAAAATTATCTCTAAGAATTATGTGCTATAGAATGAAATGAGTAATAAATAAAGGCTACAAAGACCATTCCCTGCAGAAAGGAAAGGTGGAATGAAGAGAGGGAGGGAAAGAGGAAAGAAAAGAGGAGAGAGAGAGATCCTGAAACTGGCTTACCTCAAGTTAGCATTATCAAGAAGAACTATGGTTTGTCTCCACCAAAACTCATGTTGAGACTTAATTGCCCAGTGTAACACTATTGAGTTAGCAGGGTCCTTAAGAGTATTGGGGATCTGCTCACATAAATATATTACTATTTTTCTAAAGAGATTGGGTTAGTTCTCTCTACACTGGATTAGGTCTCACAGGACTAGATTGGTTACCATAAAAGTGGGTTGTTATAAAACAAATTTGTCTTTCTCAGCTCTTCCTTGCTTCCTCTTACCATGTGATCTCTTTTATACCTGGCAGTCATTGCTCTTGCATGCCATCCCACTAGGTGATGTCATATACCAAGTTATGGAGCAACATGAGGCCCTTACCAGATGTATTCCCCAATCCCACCTCTAGAACTGTGAGCAAAATAAATCTCTTTTCCTTATATAGGATCCAGCCTTGGTTAGTTAAAGAAACACAAAATGGACTAAGACAACCAGATAGGGAAGATGTTCAGAGAGAGGCCCTAGAACCTTTTCTTATGCCCTGAAAGTATGGCAATCACCTGTTTCCTCTTAAGATATGTGGAGAGCTGACCTTAAAGAAATACCACGTTCTGCTTCCAGCTTCTAATGGGTTGACTTGTGTCACCTCAAAATATGTTACTTCTACCTTCTTGTGGGCTGTATTAGGATCTTTCCAGAGCTATACTGAGTCCTAACCACACACTTGTGAATGTGACTTATTTGGAAATAGGGTCTTTGCAGATATAATCAAGGTGCAGTCATTAGAGTTGGTGGGAAATAATCCAAAATTACTGGCATCCTTACAAGAAGGGGAAATTTGGACAGAAAGACAAACACAAAGATACACAAGGAAAAGATGGCCATATGATGACTATGGTGAGATTACACAAACACATCTATAAGCTAAGAAACACCAAGGATTGTTGGCAACCAGCAAAGCAAGGAAAAGACAAGGAAAGAGTCTTTCCTAGAGTATTCAGAAACAGTATGGCCAGGTGACACCTTGATTTCAGTTTTAGCCATGTGAATATGAGAATAAATTTCTATGGTTTTTACCCACCCAATTTGTAGTTCTTTGTTATGGCAGCCACAAAAAAACCTAACACACCCCTCTACACCAGGCAGGGCTCGAGTAGCAAATACTCATACATGACAACAAGGAAAGTTCTACATGTTTCCTAGGATGATAAGGTAATTCTGAGAGTTTTGCAATAATTAAAAGCTTTAAATCAATATGAGACACATGAAAAAAAAGAAGCAAGATGCAGCTAAAGATGGTATCAGAAGATAAATTTCAATCATCTGCTTGAGAAGTGAAAATGTTGCTGGTGATGAAATAAATGAATGTACACTTTGTAAGCTGCTTTCATAAAAATGAGCCTCTTCTACATCCACAGCAACATCTAAATTAAAGTCCCCCAGGGTGTTACTTCCTCTCTGCCCACAAGGAGCTGCTCCCTAGCTACCTGTCTTTATGCAAACATACCCTTTAAAAAATGCAAAGTTAAGGCTAAGAAGAAAAAGAAGGGAATTTGACAAAAAAGAAAAATCAAATTAAGAATACCAAAAAGGCAAAACAAAAATGATTATAAGGTTATAACAAATTAAGAACTTTATTATAAAGCAAATAAGCAAGTTAAAACTATAATGGGTTAAAAAATAAGAAAAAAATTAAGCCAAAATATGGAAACACTAAAAAATTTGCCCTTCTGCCTTCTGCCATGTGAGAATGCAGCAATGAAGTGGTGAGAGCAAGCCTTTACCTTAGGCTGCATCTGCCAGTGCCTTAAACACAGCCTTCTCTGCTTCTGGAACTAGATATGTGTGGTCCAGAGAAGAGACAGAAACAAGCTGGCAGAATACAAACTCAAAGTCTCCACTCTTCTCATTCCAGAAAATTCAACTGCCAGCTACCCAAAGACAGAACATCTTTTCAACGGCAACAATACCTGGAAACAAGCCTCAGATGCCCGTAGAGTCCTCAGAGCTAAGTGAAAAGTACATTGAAAGGGTTTTAAAAACAATGGTCTCTCATGCTGGGCACCAAGAATGCACAATGAGAAAGGGACTTTTCAATAAATCATATTGGAAAAAATAGATATATACATGCAGAAGAATGAAATTAGACTCTTATATGATACTATTTACAAAACAACTCAAAATGGATCAGAGAGAACCACCATACTGTAACAGGTTCTTAGAAACTGCTTTTGCTACAAAGCACTAACTCCTCACTTGGGCCGACAAGTTAAAAGACTCCTTTGTCTTAAAATTTGGGGCCCCTGCTTAACTCTGCATGAAGACATGTTAACCATTCAAGGAGTGTTTGCCTAAAAACTGGTGATCCTTAAACTGTCTTACCCCCCTTCAAGGCTGAAGACACAAAAAAGAGTAACTGAGGAATCTTCCTGTTGGCATTTCTAATTTCCTGATCCAGACTCCCAAAACAGCACCTAAACCTAAAGTCGCCCTGGAATCCAGGAACAGCAGAGTTTCACAGAAAGTTCACCCCATAATGTGAGTACCCCCACCCCAAGCAGACCAATCATCCCATGGGAACTAAATTGTTTCCTCAAGCAGTGAGAACATCTTTGAACTAACTTCCAGGATCAGAACTGAGATAAACGATCAATCAGACCACACCTTTTACCCAAACTGCCTAACTGTGCATACTTCTTGCCCTCTCCCCCAGTACTTCCTCTGTTTGAACCTAGAGCTCATGTCAGTACTCCCAAGATGGATTGAAATACCTCCCCCATCTGATGGAAGCCAGCCTTTCTGTTAAGCAATCTCCTTTCTCTGCCCTTCACTACTCATCTCGTGGCCAGATTTGATATGTTGGAACTCCTGGAATTGAGTCTGTTGGGTCTATAAGATTCCCCATATGATAACAGAAACTGTGATCGAGTAGGAGAAAACAGGGAAATTACATGGCATTGTTTTGGGCAATGATATTTTCAAGTTGACTCATAAAGTGCAGGCAACAAGAGCAAAAATAGGCAAAAGAGATTATATCAAGCTAAAAAGCTTCTGGACAGCAAAGAATACGATTAACACTACAAAGAGACAACCTATGAATTACACGAAAATATTTGCAGTTCATACATCTGATAAGGGGATAATATACTGCCAGGTGTGGTGGCTCACTCCTATAACTCTAGGTACTCAGGAGATGGAGATTGCAAGGATCATGGTTTGAGGAGAGCCCAGGCAAAAAGTTAGTGAGACCCCAACTCAACCAATAAAAGGTAAGCATGGTGGAGTGTGCTTATCCTAGCTATATGGGAATAGTAAACAGGATGATCAAAGTCCAATCCAGACTGGACATAGTGTGAGATCCTATTAAAAAACTATCTAAAGCAAAAAGGGCTGGGGCATGGCTCAAGTGGTAGAATGCCTGCCTCACAAGTACAAAGTCCTGAATTCAAACCCCATTACCACCAAAAAGGGGGTGGAGGTGATGTACATACATATAAGAAACTCAAAGAATGATTGAGGATAAAAGACGCTCCGATAAAGGAAGGAAGCACTTATCAAAAGGAATATTTAAACTAAGCCCCTAGGCTGGTTTGTGTGCTGCAGTCCTCTCAACACTCAAACTCTGGAGTCTGCTTTGCTTTTTGCTCTACTTGCCTAATAAGATTCTGCTGGTCTCTTACCTTGTGACCTGGACTGAAATTCTTTTACGTGTTGGATTCAATGACCAACTGACCAGATAGAGGTTCTCTTGGGGACCTCCTTAAACCTCCACTAACTCCCTTAGTAATACTCACCAGAAGTGCTGGGGTCTCCACACCACTGGAGGTCATCTGCAATGTAGCCCAACAAAGTGTCCTCCAGGGTGAGCATCTTCCCCTGCACCCAAGTGTACTGATGGGCCAGCTCTTTTGATTTGCTCCAAAAGAGAGTCTAAGAAAGAACAAACACAACCTGTTGTTGAGATTGATTTAGTAGCTCAAAAAGAAAATGAATCCACATTTTGTAAATGAAAGAGAACAGAAACTCTTAGAGTAGATCACATGTAGTAAGGGTAAGAAAAAATAAAGTCATATCTAGAAAAGACATTAAAGAGTTCCAGTATTCCAAAAGTTTTCTGTAAGTAATTTTTGTTATGATCTGTTTTCTAGAAGATGTGTTCTTTGGTTATTAGAAGCTCCATAACAAGGACCTACAGGCCACATAGAGGTTTTCTCTCTGTTGGGGACATCCTTGGACTCCCATCAATCCCCAGTGACAATCATCTGCTCCCACAAAAGCAAAACAAAATAAAAAAAACACTGGGTTTTCTTTTCAGGGTCAAAGACACAGATGGCCAAATCTCTGAATAATATGCTGTCCCATGAATCCATTCATTCTTAGCATGAATCCACAGAGCACAGAGGATTACATCAGAGCCTTATTGAAACTCAGCATCGCCACTTATTAGCTGCTTTGCCTTGGGCAATCAAAGAATCACTTTAGAAAGCCTCACTTCCAGTATCTATAAAATGGAAGTGAAAATGTCTGTTACAAACTCATGGGATGCTGGGAGATTAAACAAGGCAATGCAGATAAAGTGCTTAGCACAGTATTTGTTGCATAGTTGGTCTGGTTGACAAAGCCTGGATTATCGTTTGTCAAATACCTCCTCTGTGCAGGGTATCATACTTGATGCTCCAAAGGGAAGGGCCACAACTCCAGCTCACTAACAAGGAGATGAGGGGTGGTTGTGTCTGTGGGGGTAAGGACTCCCAAACGTAATTTTAGACACATGGAATTTTTGTCTTATCACCAATTTTAGAGAAAATGTACTCCATGATAGGCCTTTTCCAGGATGATAAATGTATTAAAACCAAGGCCTCTATGCTCTATTTATACAGAACAGTCACTTGGGCAATCACTAGCTAACCAACCTCACAAAGCCTCAGTTTTCTCGTGGTACAGTGGGAATGTTAACACCAGGCTTGTCTGTTCCACAGGATGGCTGGAAAGGATGGCCTTTGAGTGTAAGGGTGAGGAGAGCTCATTGCTATAATTATATATGGTTGAGTTATTTTGACAGGTTGGTGCTGTGTTTGTTTTGCTTGGTTTTTGGTCAAATCTCCTTTCCTCTTTCCATGTCTCCATTTCTCTCTCTTACTTCCTTTCCCCAGACCTCCTAAATCTTGATGAAAGCCTGGTTTCCCAACAGCCCTACAAACTCCACCAACCACACCCACTAGTACCAAGTACCTAGATTATTTTCTCTTCCCTCATCTTAATCAAAATTTGATCCACTTCCCTCTGACAGTTTTAAAATCAGTAACTTGTCCTCACTACCTTGTTGCAGGGTATGGTTTGAGTGTCCATCTTAATTAGTGGCTCGTAATCTTCTTTTGTGATGGAGCAAGGATTCTTTGAAATAAAAGCACCTTTGAATGCATCCATTATCTTTAAGCAGTCTTTATCTCTGTAAGATAAAACATGGAAATAAAATAAAATAGAGATAAGATACATTAAAAATATTTTGGGGAGCTGGGTGCTGGTGGCTCATGCCTATAATCCTAGCTACTCAGGAGGCAGTGATCAGGAGGGTCGTGGTTCAGAGCCAGCCTTGGCAGATAGTTCTGTGAGACCCTGTCTTGAGAAAACCCATCACAAAAAAGGAACTGGTGGAGTGACTCAAGGTGTAGACCCTGAGTTCAAACCCCAGTACTGGAAAAAAAAAAACTTGGGGGCGGGGCATAATTACTCCAAGAAATCTCTATTAGGGAACCAGGCAGCTCAAACATATCATCTCATCTAACACATACAGCCTTTTTTTTTTTTTTTGTGGTACTGGGGTTTTAACTCAGGGTCTCACCCTTGCTAGGCAGTTGTTCTACTGCTTGAGCTCCTCAGCCAACACTAACTTGAACTTCTTATGAAGCAGGAATTAGACCTGGTGTGGCGGCTCAGTGAGGTTAAAATAATCATCCTTTGTTCACACAGTTGGCAAAGTGGTAGAGTAAGACTCAGATCTGTGTCTGTCTGATGCCAGGGCTAGAGTCTGGTTATTAATTCTCAGCTAACTAAGTGTTAAAATAAAGTCAAGAACACGTGATGATGACCAGTTTTCTTTCTCACACAACATGTAGAAGGCATCCTACTGCCTTCAGAAAAGTTCAAGTTCCTAATTGACTTCTACCCAAATTTTCCCATCTCTGTGCTGGACATGGTCTCCACTTCCTGGAATACATTTTCCCCATATCTGCATACTGAAGTCCTAACCACACTTCCTGCCTGTGCCCTGGAGTGAGTAGAAGCTGGGGATGTGACTCTGTTGGTCCCCACAGTTTGGGAAGCCTCCTGACCTTTGTGTCCAGTAATGGGAAATGAATGGAGGGGAGGCTATAACTTACAAATGGTTTTAAAGACTTCTTTAACTGGAGCTGGGGGTTGGCTCAAGTAATACAGTTTCTGCCTGGCAAACGAAAAGCCCTGAGTTCAAATCCCAGTACAAAAAAAAGAAAAAGACTTCTTTAATCGTAACTCACATCCAAGCTCACATTCCTCTGGGAGCCTGCTGCTCCTCTAAGGACTAGAAAATCCTCTCTTTTGTGCTTTGCTTCAATTTAGCCTACACAGCAAAGTTAGTGGCAAACAGGCCTATCTGCCTAGAGTGTGGTCATCTTACAGTCAGAGACAGGTCTGGTTTACCTTCCAGCCCACTAATAACAGATTCAAATAATGTTTATAGATTGAGCGGGAGATTAAATATGATTCCTATAAAATGCAAAATACACATGTGATTTAAAGATTTCACTTTCTGAATGGAAAAGCAAGAAACTCCAAAATCCAGCTTGTCTGTAAAAGCAATGGGAACCCTAACAAGAACTATCCATACCAGCTTTTTAGAACTCTGGAAAATAAAGCTTGCAACAATCCAGAAAATGTTTCTTCTAAAAAAAAATGGTTCAGTATTGGTTAGAAAACTGAGCCTTTTTGCATTTTCACTTGCTTTAATTACATCTCCCTCTCCCCAGCTCCAGGGAAGCCTTGAATCCATAGCTTTTACATCTGTGAAAGCCCAGCCTACCAGCCAGGCAGCCGTAGAGCAAGTGTGGATTCACAGAGAAATTTATGACGGGATCTGTCTGGAAGTGTGCCAAGCAACCCATGTCTCCTGGCTTGTCTTTATTTGACACAACTGGGAGTTCACTCAGTGTGAATGGCGTGCCACACAGCACTGGTGAAAACAGTCAGTGCAATAATATAACATCACAGGTGCGTCAGGTAGCTTTACCTGGAGGGGCTGACAAGAGGCAAAGGAAAACCTGAGGGAATCAAATATCCATAAGGATTGAAAAGAAATGTAAGGAGATGTCTCACTGAACAAAAGATGTCAAGAAATGGATAGGAATTATTTTTTTAAAAAAGAAATAAAGTGTAGAGTTCAAATCAAATAGCTGAAATGAAAATTCCACTGGAGTGACCCAACATCAGATCTGAGCTAGAAGAAAGAGCCAGTGAACGTGAAGTCAAGCATTACAGTATCTGCAGAAAAGAAGCTGCAGAAGAAGACATGAGAAAGGGGAAAAAAATTTTTTTGAAGAAATAATGTCCCCAAACTTCTCAAATTTGGTGAGTAAAATTCTTTTTTTTTTTTAATTTTATGGTTGTCCTGGGTGAGGGTACATTGTGGCATTTACAAAGGTTCTTATAATATATGATATATACCATACTTGATTTCACCCCCTCCACCATTCTCCTTTATCCCTCTTAGGATGAGTAAAATTCTTGGAAGAAAACACATAAGAAAAAATATTTATAATCTTAAACAAATCAGTGTTTTCTTAGATGTAACAATAAAAGCACAGCAACAAATGAAAAAAAATAGATGTTACATTTCATCAAAATTAAAAACTGGAGCCAAGCATGGTGGCTCATACTTGTAATCCCAGCTATGAGGGAGGGGAAAATTGGGAGGATCATGATTTGAAGCCAGCCCAGGCAAAAAGTTAGTGAAACCCACCCATCTCAACAAACAAGCCAAGTGTAGTGGTGCATAGCTATAATTCCAACTACAAAGGAAGGCACAGGTAGGAGGATCATAGTTCAGACTAACCTGGGCAAAAAGCTTGAGACCCTCTCTGAAATATAAAGCAAAAAGAACTGGGAACGTGGCTCAAGTGGTAGACACTGACCTAGGAATTGTGAGGCCCAGAGCTCAAATCTTAGTATTGCAAAAAAATAAAATAAAATAAAGACAAATTTGCTTCAAAGAACATCAGCAAGAAAATAAAAAGAAAATGCAGAGAATGGGGTAGAATATTTGTAATGTCAGAATATTTCTGATTTGGGACTAGCATCCAGAATAATGAAGTTCTTACAACTCAATGTAAGAAGACAGCCCAATTTACCAATGGACAATGGATTTAGTATGTTTTCCCACAAGAGATAAGAAAGGACCAGTGCACATTGAGCACTGTCCACAGTCAATAGGAAACTGCAAACCAAAGCCACGAGATCCACTTTACGCCCTCTAGAACGTGTTACAGGTTGAAATGGACCATATGTTGACGTCCTGGCCTCAGATACTCAAAAGTGACCTTATTTAGAAATAGGGTTGGTGTGGGGCAGAAGCAGATAGGAGGAGTGACTTCTAATGCTCACAGCTCAATAGAGTGACTTGGTTGCCAACAATTGCTTGTGCATTTCAAAATGGCTGAGAAGCCTTTGAATGTCCCCGACACTGAGCAGTGACAGATGCCTGAGGTCACTCTGCTTTGATCATTACACACTGTCTACACAGCTGAGATGTCACACTGTGTCCCATAAATATGCACGGTTGCTATGTGTCAACTAAAGCTGCAAATAAGTAGGGTTGTTGCAGATGTACCCACCCACCAGTAACACAGCAAGTCTCCCAAGGTACTTTTAAAGAAAAAAAAGGTTTTCCTTAAATGACTCTTTTCAGCTACCGTGATGGAACCAATCACCAGGAGACCCAGGTAGAGCAAACAAATCTGAAGATAACTTCAGATTATAATAGGGTTATAATAGAGTTTTGAACCATTCAAGTAAAATTCCTTCCTCATAAGACTATGAAAGTTGGGCTTTCTCAATGATTTCCTGTCCAAAGAGAAATTATTTCCTGTTGGTGTTCACACGCCATCACAGTGAGGATGCTTACCTTCCTCTTATTGCCTCGCTTGTGTGGACTCCTGATTACAAGATGTCCTTAAGAAAGTCTCGTCCTTCCTAATATAAGGTTTCCTGTTCTTAAGTGTGTTAGCAGCTATGGAAGAGAGGACTCAGTGCTGGATGTGATGACACACGCCTGTGGTCCCAGCTATGCGGGAGGCTGAGGGAGGAAGATCATGGTTGGAGGCCAGCCTGGGCAAAGTTAGCGAGAGAGCCTATTTGAAACAAAACCAAACCAAAACCAACAACCAAACAAAAACACTAAAAGCAAAAAGACTGAGTGTGGATCAAGTGGTAAAGCATTTGCTTAGCAAGTACTAGGCCCTAAATTCAATCCCCAGCACTGGAAAAAAAAAGAAAAGAAAAGAATACATGGTGCCCATTGTTTCTACTTTCAAGAGTTTGTAACTTGAAGGGAAAAAATTGCACACAGAAATAATTGGTCCACTTTTTTCATCCTCACCCCATTCTTTTTATATTTTCAATTTCAGTACAATACTAGTAATATAAAGTTTATCAGTAGCTGGGTTGCGGGTGCACACCACCATGCCTGGCTGATTTCCTTTTGTTTTTGAGGTGGTAGGAATGGAACCCAGGGCCTCATGCATGCTAGGCATTGCTCTGCTACTGAGCTACACCCTCACCTCCCTTCACCATTTTTTTTGGATATAGTTAAGTAGTGTTAAGACAACGTTTTGCAACCAGTCTCTAGAACTCTTCATCTTGCAAAATTGAAATTCTGTACCAACAGGTACAGAGTATCATACACTAACTCCCTAGCCATGCTCCCCAGCCACTGGCAGCCACCGGCAGCCACCATTGCCAATCCACTCTGTTCTATCAGTTTGACTACTCTAGCTACCACATATAAATGCAGTTGCATAAAGTTTGTCTTTTGTGATGGCTGATTTCATTCAGCATGATATTCTCAAGGTACACACATCGCAGCACATGTCAGCATTCTCTCCCTTTTTAAGACTGAAAAATATTCAATTGTATTTAAATATCACATTATCCATTCATTAGTCAATGCACACTTGGGTTGTGTTCTCCACACATTCTTTACCCTCTTGCCTTTGAGGTTCCGAGGGTTGGAATCAAGGCTTTGTGCTTGCTAGGCAGCCACTCCACCACTTGAGACAGTCCACCATTGGAGTGTCTTTTTTGCATTGGTTATTTTTGAGATAAGGTCTGCTTTATGCCCAGGCCACATCCTAGCTTCCCTAGGAGCTGGGATGACACACACACACCACTATGCCCAGCCATTGGTTGAGATGGGATCTA